GGCAGCTTTCCAGGGCTCGGGCCTTCAGCGCGTGGGTCTGTGCAGGTGACACTGTGCAGGCGCCTGCAGGGGGCCAGAGGGCTCCTCCCAGGGGCACCGGCCCGGCGAGCCAGTCGCCTCGGTGCCGGAGGGCGCGGGCGGCGTCTCCATCACGGACCAAAGCTCCTGCTCCGACCTGGCCTGGGGCGTGCGGCTGCCTGCGGGGCCTTGAGGCCTCACACTGGGGAGCCGCCAGCGGGGTGGGGGGCCCTCTTTCCCTGCAGGGAGCTCGGAGCTGCAGGCGTGACTCCTCAAGACGCCGCAGTCAGCGGGGTGGACGCAGGCTGCAGTGGCTGTGGCCAGCACCCCAGGGCTGAGACTTAACCTCTTAAACCACCAGGGAGGCTCCTGTTTTGTTTCTTCCTTACTAACATTCACCAGATCTTTTAACACCAGGTTAAAAAAAAAATTGTGATAATGTCTCGGTCAACAGCCTATTTCCTGCTTGATTACAGAAACTTCGTCTGTCTTCCTGCTCTTTCAGGTCATCTTGTCTTCCTGCTCTTTCAGGTCATCTTCGCCGATGGCCGCCCGTCCTTGGTCTCCAGCAACAGAAGTTCTGGGGAGCCGGTTCCCACGGAGGCAGGACAAGCTGAGCAAAGGTTGCACAGCCGCGTGCTAGGCCCTGGGTGTGCATTTAGAATGAGGGCAAAGCGGAGCGAGAAGCCCCTGTAAGAGAGGAGTCAATTCTGCCCAGAGAGCGGCCCGGCTTTGCCGGCTGCTGGCTTTGCCGGTGTCCTCGGGGCCTGAGGAGGGAGCCGGTCAGCGGGAGCCAGTGTGGGACAGGAGCACAGCACGGTCCTGGGGACGTGTCCGGGATGGTCCTCCTGCGTGTGGACAAGATGCGGGGACCCCATGGAGGCCCCCCAGATTTACCTCGCCGCCTCTTGTTCTGGCTTGGTCCCTTTTGCTTTAATGAAACTTTCGTCATCCGGCGCCCCCCCCCCCCAAGTCCGGTGAGTAATTTCAGCACGGCATCAAATTCGAGGGGGTCGTGGGCCCCAGGCGGGGTCCTGGCTCTGGGGTAACCCTGGCCCGGTGTCCTCTGTTCCCTTCGGACAACAGCTCCCACGTAGCCTTCCGGGGCCCCTGGAAACCAGGGTTGCGCTCTGCCCTGAGCCTGCTGTTCTGCACCCTGTAAGT